AAGTGTACCATATCACCTCAGCTTACTTTACGGTGTACACATCACCTCAGCTTACTTCACAGTGTACATCACCTCAGCTTACTTCACAGTGTACATCATCTCAGCTTACTTCACAGTGTACATATCACCTCAGCTTACTTCAAAGTGTACCATATCACCTCAGCTTACTTTACGGTGTACACATCACCTCAGCTTACTTCACAGTGTACATCACCTCAGCTTAATTCACAGTGTACATCACCTCAGCTTACTTCATAGTGTACATCACCTCAGCTTACTTCATAGTGTACATATCACCTCAGCTTACTTCAAAGTATACCATATCACCTCAGCTTACTTTATGGTGTACACATCACCTCAGCTTACTTCACAGTGTACATCACCTCAGCTTACTACACAGTGTACACATCACCTCAGCTTACTTCATAGTGTACATCACCTCAGCTTACTTCATGGTGTACCACATCACCTCAGCTTACTTCAAAGTGTATCACATCACCTCAGCTTACCTCATAGTGTACACATCACCTGAGCTTACTTTATGGTGTACACATCACCTCAGCTTACTTCATAGTGTACATCACCTCAGCTTACTTCACAGTGTACATCACCTCAGCTTACTTCACAGTGTACACATCACCTCAGCTTACTTCACAGTGTACACATCACCTCAGCTTACTTCACAGTGTACATCACCTCAGTTTACTTCATAGTGTACACATCACTTCAGTTTATTTCATAGTGTACCACAACACCTCAGCTTACTTCATAGTGTACATCACCTCAGCTTACTTCATAGTGTACCACATCACCTCAGCTTACTTCATAGTGTACATCACCTCAGTTTACTTCATAGTGTACACATCACCTCAGCTTACTTCACAGTGTACTGCATCACCTCAGTTTACTTCATGGTGTACTGCATCACCTCAGTTTACTTCATGGTGTATGGCATCATCTCGGCTTACTTCATGGTGTACTGCATCACCCTGGATTACTTTAAGGGTCAAGATTTTAACAAATGATAACACAAAATCATGAGAGGACCTACACCTTATTTCCACACATGACAGTGGAGGTGCCTGAGAAGAGGCAGGTGGGGTCCCTAGCCAGCATTCCGGCACAGATGCACAGCTTATTTGGGAATGCCCATGCACCGTCATCCCTAGATCTATCTGCACAGTGGGACCCTTCGCGTTCCCTGACACTGTGAACCATCTCTTCACGGATCCTCTGCTGGCACTGGATTCTACCAGCTCCTGAGAGAGGCATTTGACACACCCAGCCCCCCAGGAAGGTGTGTGATGACAAACTCTGGGAGCGGTGGTTGGAGCTGGGCATCTTCCTCCACACTGGGGAGAAAGAAACAAGGACCAAGGGCCAGGAGATGCAAGGAGATTCCTGGACAATGTTTCTGTCCCTGAGCCAAAACTCAATTTTGCAGTTTCATTGTTTTCTTAGAAGAGCTTTTATTCACACACGACACACTTGAGATTCAGATATGAATATTAAAATGCATTTACAAAGCTTACGTCATCCACAGCAACTCTGTACACTAAGCAAAGGGAGTTGTTAGTTGTTGTTAGATGCCGTTGAGTTGGTTCCGACCGAATGAAACACTGCCCAGTCCTGCACCATCCTCACAATCGTTGCCATGTTTGAGCCCACTGTTGCAGCCACTGTGTCTATCCATCTTGTTGAGGGCCTTCTTCTTTTTCACTGACCCTCTTCTTTACCAAGCATGATGTCCTTCTCCAGGGTCTGGTCCCTCCTGATAACATATCAAAAGTACATGAGAAGAAGTCTCACCATCCTTGTTTCTAAGGGGCATTCTGGCTGTACTTCCAAGACAGATTTGTTCATTCTTCTGGCAGTCCATGGTATATTCAACATTCTTTGCCAACACCATAATTCATATGCATCAACTCTTCTTCAGTCTTTCTTAGTCACTGTCCAGTTTTCACATGTATATGAGGCAATCAAAAATATCATGGCTTGGGTCAGGTGTACCTTAGTCCTCAAAGTGACATCTTTACTTTTTAACACTTTAAAGAGATCTTTTGCAGCAGATCTGCCCAATGCAGTATGTCTTTTGATTTCTTGACTGCTGCTTCCATAGGAATCGATTGTGGATCCAAGTAAAATGAAATCCTTGACGACTTCAATCTTTCCTCCGATTATCATGATGTTGCTTATTGGTCCATTTGTGAGGATTTTTGTTTTCTTTATGTTGAGGTATAATCCATAGAGAAGGCTGTAGTCTTTGATCTTTATCAGTAAGTGCTCCAAGTCCTCTTCACTTTCAGCAAGTAAGTTTGTGTGCTGCAAGTTGTTAATGAGTCTTCCTCCAATTCTGATGCTATATTCTTCATACAGTCCAGCTTCTCAGATTATTTGTTCAGCATAGACTGAATAAGTACAGTGAAAGGACACAACCCTGATGCACACCTTTCCTGACTTTAAACCATGCAGTATCCCCTTGTTCTGTTAGAATGACTGCCTCTTGGTCTATGTACAGGTTCCTCATGAACACAATTAAGTGTTCTGGAATTCCCATAATTTGTTATACCCCCCACAGTCGAATGCCTTTGCATAGTCAATAAAATAGAGGTAAACATCTTTCTGGTATTCTCTGCTTCTAGCTAAGATCCATCTGACATCAGCAGTGATATCCCTCATTCCACATCCTCTTCTGAATCTGGCTTGAATTTCTGGCAGTTCCCTGCTGATGTACTGCTGCGCCGCTTTTGAATGATCTTCAGCAAAATTTTACTTGCGTGTGGTATTACTGATATTGTTTGATAATTTCTGCATTCTGTTGGATCACCTTTCTTTGGAATGGGTACAAATATGGATCTCTTTCAGTCAGCTGGCAGGGAGCTGTCTTCCAAATTTCTTAGCATAGATGAATGAGCGCTTCTGGTGCTGCATCCATTTGGCGAAACATTTCAATTGGTATTCCATCAATTCCTGGAGCCTTATTTTTCGCCAATACCTTCAGTGCAGCTTGGACTTATTCCTTCAATACCACTGGTTCTTGATCATATGCTACCTCCTGAAATGGCTGAATGTCGACCAATTTTTTTTGGAACAGTGACTCTGTGTATTCCTTCCATCTTCCATTCCTCCCAAGGGAGGTGACAATGTGAAAATCTATAATCTCTCAAGTTTCAGAGGAATTACAGTAAAATTACCTAAATCAGTAGAAAAAGTCTTAAATTTTGGCCCTAGTAACAAAAAATTCCAATTAGGTTCCCCTAACCCTTGTTAAAGGTAAAACATGTAGATCCTAAGCAGAAAGGGACCCCCTTCCTTTGAGGACCCCTTTATCTGGGAGCTACATAACCTACATAAGTGCACAGTCTCAGGAAATTCTTTTCTCCAAACAAAAGAATTAGCAAGTAACCTACATAAAAAATAAAATGTTCCTATACAAACTGCGCAGCCAACAATTCTGAGGGAGAATTTCCAATCCTATTAGTTCTGTACCTCCCTCCAAATGATAGCTCAAGAAATAGAGAACGCTGCAATTTTAAACTCAGCCAACCTAAAGAGGCAGACAATGCTGACTTTTCGTTGTCAAGGGTCTTACTTACTTAGAGCACAAAAAGGTGGATATTCAACATAATTTACATAATACACTTCTAAAGCTTGTAGTGAAAAGAATAAACTCAGACTTAAAATGAAACATTTCACTACAAAACTTTTATTTATTGGACCAAAGGAGACCTGCATAAGTGGAAAAACATACCTTGCTCATGGATAGGAAGACTCAACACAGTGAAAATGTCGATTCTACCCAAAGCGATCTACAGATACAATGCAATTCCGATTCAAATTCCAATGGCATTTTTTAATGAGATGGAGAAACAAATCACCAACTTCATATGGAAAGGGAAGAGGCAACGAATAAGTAAAGCATTAGTCAAGAAGAACAAAATGGGAGGCCTCACACTACCTGATTTTAGAACCTGTTATACCGCCTGGTACAGGTATAACAACAGATACATAGACCAATGGAACAGAACCGAGAATCCAGACATAAATTCATCCACCTATGAGCAGCTTGTACTTGACAAAGGCCCAAAGTCCGTCAGTTGGGGAAAAGACAGTCTCTTTAACAAACGGTG